TTTCATTACAATTTTATTATACAAATAAAATAAACCAAAATTAAATAAAAAAATATGTTGAAAGAAAGATCTTAATAAAATATTATATATATATATAATAATTATTATATTTAAAAATTATATATTTGTAAAATAAATGATAATCTATTGCTGAAAATTGATAATATTGTCTTAAAACAGAAAAATAAAGTGGAATATAAGAGTTTAATGCCATAACAATAATTACAAATTTTATATAGAAAGATACATGTAATTCAAATCTTTTTCAATAATTTTATTACCAATCATCTACCACCATAAAACGCAATTTTAATTTCTTTCTATTGCTTTTTGCAAACGATTATATTTTCTATTCGCACTTAAAACCTCTGACAATCATCAGTACATAAGTAAACGTAGTCACGGAATAAATTCAGATAATCAACGCTGTTTGTATCATTAAATGCTTATTATCATTTAATAGGGTATATATATGCTTATAAGATAACTCAGATTAATTTCACTGCAATAAAACCAACCAGCGCGGTTATTAACTACATATGTAAATTTCAAATCTTAATTATAGCTTCATATAAATCGGAATAAGAAGATAGTAAATTTTAGAAAGTAATTCTTATTTCAATCAACGAAAGTTTTCCACTTCAACGAGCCTATTATTTTTTGTAAATAATTTTCTTTCTTTAAATAATAATAATATAAGAAAAGAAAAAAAATTAGATAACAAGTATCGATTGTGATGAAATTTATAGTCGATCTTGCCAACAAGTTAATTTTGTGGCAAACGACCAAAACAATCTATTTATTCGTAGGTAACCTTTCTATCATTTTAAGAGAAATATATTATTGAAAATTATTGCAACATTTTTCGTGGTAAAAGATGATAACACGATTCTTTTCGTAGTCAAACGTATAAATTTGTTTCTCTCTTTGTAATAAAAATGAATCGTGTTAATTTAGATTAGGTTAGATATGATTGTGTAATAATCGCTTAAATCGCTTTGAACACAAACGTGTTCTTTTTCTTTACGACAAACGAAATGTGCTTTTATTATTTTTCTAACATACGTCGAAAGTTTTACGAGTCTAGTTTTTATGACAAGATCAATAAACATATAAAAAGTTTAAAAAATAATTATTTGCAGATGCAGATTATTACGTAATAAAAAAAATAAATTGATGTATGAATTAATTTTTTTTTTTGTCAATATAAATTTAAACGTGTGCTCTTACGATTTTTCTTCTTTTCACAGTTTTAATAAAAATATATATAATTTCATGAGAAAATCAATTATATAATAATGTATAATAAAAATTATAACGAATTCTAAATCGGAATAATAGACACAAATTTTATGTAAATTTATAAAAAAAAAAAAAAAAGAATTTCGACTCGAAGGAAATGATCTGTTATCAAGAAAAAAAAAAATCGTCTCTTATCGTAATAATATCCTGTCACGCAAGATAAATCAGTTTTTTCTATATGAAAGGCATGTACACGTTAAAAATGTCACTTCTGTCGGGGGTGCAATTCTTTGTTCCATCCCTTCGAACATCCCTCGAAACCCTTTACACAGTAATACGTATCGATCGCGTTTTACACCACTTTCACCCTTCTCCCCTATTATTTTCCACTTTCTTATATGGTTAACGAAACAGAATAGGAGAAACGCTGGCAAATGAAGGGGGAGGAGCTTTATCGATTGCTAGCTCTCATTGTAGCCAACCGATCTTTAACTTTCGTACATACACACTCGACACTGAGAATTTGACGTGCACACTCCCGCTTAAATATTTTAAAATTTATTATACGGTCGCGTCATTTTTTTTTTTTTTTTTT